ACATGTTTAACATTTCTCACAGTAATTCTAAAAAATGTTTTTAATTGTTTTAATAGATGAAGTAGATTTCAGTGTCAATCAAACAGGTTATGTAGTTCTTGCCTCCAAATTGAAATATTTACTCCTGAGGGCAGGAGGGAGTGAGACTCAGGATGTTGACTGAGTGTGGAGACAGAGGCAAGCAGATCTCTTGTGAGACCAACTTGCTCTCCAGAGTGAGTTCCAGGCAAGCTGGGGCTACAGAGAGACCCTGTCTCAAAAAGACAAACAAACAAGAAAACAAACAAACAAATGAAAAAGTTGCGGGAAATCATTTCTTTGGTCGGTCATTGGTGTGCTATGTAGTGTGAATAGACTTTTGTTGATGTTTTTCCAGGAAAAGACACAAAACAAATATGTACACAGAAATACAAACAAAACTTGTAAGAATGATTTATAAATACACCTGGCACCTCTCAATATTAAAATTAGATTATAATGTTTTTAGTGATTATTGCATATTTCACTAACAAAAATGACATTTAAGACTCATACTCGGGGGCAGGAGAGATGGTTCAGTGGTTAAGAATTGTTACTGCTCTTCCAGATGACCAGCACCATATAAGGTGGCTGATAACTTCTTGGGACTCCAGATCCAGGGATTAGATACCCTCTTTTGGCCTTGGCAGGCATCCTCACTCACATTTACATACTCTTTCACGCATACATACACATAATTAAAAATAAAATATGTTTCTAAAACTTATTCTCAGTCAACTAAATCTTGAGAAAAATTTTTAATCATTTCAACCAGAGAAAAAAACATGGAAGGAATCTTTCTCTGAGACTTCCAATAAATGTTAACAACTCTTCCCTCGTTACCTTCTTCAAGGAGGTGGGATTGATGGGGGTCTTCCAAGCCTGAAGAAAGGGAGTGATGTATCTAGTATGATCTATGTGATTTCCTAACTAGAGTTACTATGACCTCGTGTTTCTCCTACACCTTGTAGTCCCAAAAAAATCCCAGAGTCTCATAAAAGTAGATATATTATAGAAAGTTTGATGCTGCTCACATGGCATTTATGAAAAGACTGGGAATTATTCACAGTAACACATCATTCTTGGGGTGCACAACGGCCAATACAAAGGAGAGAAGACTGTGAGCACACACTTTTACAGCAAGGCTAATCTGTTGTCAGAACAGCACAATGATTCAAAAATGAAACAGAAGAAACAACACAAAAAATAGAAAAAAGAAAAGATGTAAAGCATGACATTCAGAATAGTGAAACCAGTCCCTCCTGAGCAGTCTCTATTAGTCTTAGATCTGTGTAGATCTCATTCAGGATGGGCATTCTCTGACACTGCAACTGTCTAACAACACTCTGATGTTGCCCCTCCTCATTGAACTTCCAAACCACACACCACATTCTTCTCTATCTTCTGATTCTCCTGCCACAGGATTGTCATTCCTTCTGAAAGATATCAGCCTGAACCAACATTCCTTCTGTAAATCTAGGATCTACTAATTGGACTTTGGACAGGAGTTTATCTCATTTAATCTTTGGCACTTTGAGGGAAATACTTGGCCACATTCAAAGCATTTATTTTCTTCCAATACACTGATATTTGATTAAACTAAAATTGGTCTAGGGCATTTTAAGATTAGTGTCATTTTTTTCCAGGTAGTGATGCTATCTAGAGGCGTGTATGTGCAACATACCCAAATTCCACAGCTTTGGCAGCCACACTGAATACCACAATTTTACCTGTAAGAATATCTAATAAGAGTCTTCATTTTAGGTTTCACTAAAAGTAAAATTGTTAAAGTGAGCTGTGAAATTCTGTACACACTGATTTGTAGTTGTATAGGATTTTCCTTGATTAAAGCTGCATTGCATTTAAATAAAAATCCTTATTCCACTTATTTATATATTTTGTGACTTTGTTTTTACTGTCTCAGTGTTGTGAAAAGTATAAAAACTGAGTCTCTTTCTTTCCATTTGAATTGTCTGAAAGCTGCTGACATTTTTTCCTCTCTCCTTCCTAAATGTGTCTCGTTATCTAACCCTCCCCGGCTGTTTTTCTCTCTCTTTCACTTTGTAAAGCATTGCACTGGATAGCTTTAGTTGTCATTTTGACACAGCTGAGTAGAGGGAGCCTCAAATAGGGAATTTCCTCTACTGGACTGACATGTGGTCATGTCTGTGGGGGCATTTTCTTGATTATTGAGTGATGTGGGAGGGCTGGGAGATGTAAACCAAATAAGCCTTTTCCTCCCCAACTTGGTATTGGTCAGAGTATTTTGTCATAACAACTGAAAGGAAACTAGAACCGAAACTGGTACCAGGATCATGGGGTGTTGCTATGACAGACCTGCCCTTGGTGTTTTTAGGAGGATTGTAGAAGCGTTTGGGACTTTAGGCTGGAAAGGTCATTGAGCACTTACTTAGAGTTGTTGCTGTGGAACTTGGAACAGTTATGCTGAAAAAGTTGTGGATGATGGAAACCTGGCTTATAAAGCTTCAAAGGGAAGCAAAGACTATCAGGGATGTAAGGATGATATTTTGAATGGAGAATCTGTGGGTTCTGGTCAGCTGGGGCTGAAAAATCAGCTATAAGTAACAAGAGACCAGAATCATCAAGGTGAAATCTTCTGGGAAGTATTTCCTCAGGGTCAGCACACAGAAACTATGGTCCAAAGGGGGCCTGAGCCTTCATCTCCAGCTGGAAGCAGGACTTGGTGGTGTGTGTCTCCTGCACGGTTCTGTTGTTGAAAGTGTCAAGGGGTCACAGAGACCAGCTGAGGTTTGGCACGGTGAGAGGCCAAAAGAGCCCATTGGTGAAGGTGAAGCCTCTGTTTCAGTGGCGACCCCAGCTTTTTGGAGATGTAAGGACCATGGAACTACCACCAAGGGCAGCAGCAGGTGTGGAATGTGAGATGAGCTTTGCATGCAGTGGATGGCAGAGCCAGAGAACTGGAGCTGCAGAAACCCTTTGGAGCCCAGAAGATTGTGAATGAATCCCAGATGTCCAGCCTTGAGCTACTTTGCTGTTCTTAAGTTTTCCTTAGGTGTGCCAAATTCTTCCCTTTTGAGATAAGACAGTACTTTTTGTAGAGTTTAAAGAAGCCCACGGTTAAGAGACTTATAAGAAAGACTTTAATCATTTAAAGTGTTTGAATTTTTTTGTTTTATTTTTAAATTTTTTTAGATAAGTAATTTGAGAATTTCATACATGCATATAAAGTGTTTTGATGAAATCCATGCCCACTCCCTCCCCTCCAACTCCTCCCATACCTCCCCATCACTTTTTTCTGATAACTTCATGTACTCTTTTTTTCTTTGATTTATTTATTTTTATAGGGCTTTTGGATACTTTAACATTCCCCCCGTCTGAACAGGTAACCCTAAAATCTTTTAAGGATTAGACACAAGCTCCCAAACACTTTCAATATTTTTGGCCTTTGGAACACAATATATTGCTAAGAGGCCCAAGGACATTTTGACTTTTAGCCAAGAAACTGGCTAGTTTTCTTTGGGGTCTTTTTACCCTAACTGCCTAGCCAATTCCTACCTCCTGTTCTTGTTACACCATCCTCTAAAGAGGCTACCCAAATTACCAATAACAAATAGGGATGCACATCACTCTGGCTTCTTCCATGCTGGACAGGGATGCAGAGTGAGGCAATTGGAATACCCTTTCAGTGGGTCTATCTAAAAGACTCTCAACTTGCATAACTATTACCTCTAAGGGGAAAAGAAAGTCCTTGAATCATGAATAGGAGATGTGAAGGAGATGTAAGACAGGAGTAATTAGCACTACAAGTTCTAGCTAGAGAACTAGAAAAATGTCAGAACAGGGCATTTTTCAAATCTTCATATGAGTCTATTGGAATTTCTTGACAAGGGCTTCCAAAAGCATCCCTGTATTGGGTTCCTCCTCATTTTTCTTCTGTCTTCCAAGACTGGACTCTAGAGATATGGATTCAGGATTTGCTTTCAGTTATTTTGATAGCTGTTAGAGTGGTTAGAATCAGTGTCAGTTCCCTCTCAAAGGCTTCTAGATAGGGGGAGAAAACAAATTTATCCATCATTTTAGAACAATAGCTGGTTGTCTCCCTTAGCTACAGGTGGGCACTACAGTATTGGAGACCAAGATTTGAAGTCTTACATCTGAGCAGCACTTTCTGGTTAGGAACAAAATCATCAATGAGAAATAATTGCCTGAATAACTCTTTTTTTTTGGGGGGGGGACCTTTTTGAGACAGGGTCTCCCTGTAGCCCCAGCTGTCCTGGAAATCACTAGGTTGACCAGGCTGGCCTTGAACTCACAGAGATTTGCCTGCCTCTGCCTCCCAAGTGCTGGGACTACAGGCATGAATCACCACACCCAGTTTAAAGCCTAATGTCTGGGAAGTGTAATCCCTTGAACTCTTAAAGAAATATA